CCCTCAAGACCTCTTCTTCTCTTCTCTCGTCTCATTGCCCCAAACCAGATATGACAGCATCGATTGGCCACCATCACGTCCACCAAGAGGGAACGATGTCGATGTGGCCTTGGTCTGGCAAAGAGACACTGCAAATGGGTCCTTGCTAAGTAGTTCCTCGAAGTTTGGTGGAGATATCAAATGTAACTCATGGCCGGTGCAGGCCTCTTCCACCTCAACTCCGTCCTCAGCCTGGACACCAATTGCTTCTTCAACCCCCCTTTCTTCTTCATGTGGTATCACCCCTGGGAAATGATCAAGAACTCCTTCTGCTTCACTTTCGTCATCCTCCACAACTTCTTTCTGAACCCTTTCTTGCTCTTCTTCTTCTAGCACGGATTGGAGAGCAAGTTGCCAAGCAATTTCTTTCATGAGATCTTCTTGCATCTCCTCACTCATGCCCACCTCTTCAAAGCTCGGTGTGGGATGTGGGAAGGGGTGGTCGGCTACGACAGGACATTCTTGATCATGATCTTCACGGGAGCTCTCCGTGATAACTTCTGTTTGCTCCACAATGTCCTTGTAGCCTTCTACTTCCTCCTCCTCCTCTAGTATGGTAGCAGAAGGGTGATCTGGAGCAGGTTGTGCACAAGATCGTTCAAGATCATCGACGCTCTTCTTAAGGCTCAGGAGGATCTCCTCTGTTTCACGATAGGCCTGAGTACAAAGATCCATCCTGGCACATGATCTCTCACTGTCTCGAGCAAACTGCTCAATGAGAAGTCTCAATTCACAGTTTGGATCTGGCTGTGGAGTGTAGCATGGCTCTGCAGAATGGCCCGTGAAGGCCGCCATGGGTAACTCCAGCTCCGATAGCCCTTCTAGTTGTGGGAGAAATTCTTCTTGGTAATGAGGTTGTTCTTGATATGCCCAGGGGTCCGGTTGTTCTCCGTAGTAAGGGGGTTGGTAATGGAACCCGAATCCATAGTCTTCTCCTCCTTGATTGCTCCAGGGAGTCTCAGGGTAATACCACTCGGATGGTGGTGGATACCTCAATGATTGGAGAAGCCATGAGGATCCATGATTCAAATCTGCACCAACAGAAACAAAAACACCCAAGTGAAAAAAAGCAAGGGTGAAAAAGAAAAGAAAAGAAAAGAAAAGAAAAGAAAAGAAAAAACGCTAAAGTAACAAACTTCTGCCTTTCCTAATAATCTAGAAAGTCCCCGGCAACGGCGCCAAAAACTTGACACGCTAAAACACAACACCTAACAATGGCCAAGTGTAACCAATGAAAGGGACTGCAGTATAGTGGCACAAGTAATAAATATCGAATCCACGGGTCTCTAGAGTTACTATTACTCAGCTTCAGTTCATTATCTAGCAAACTAGATTAATGATTGATTAACTAAACTACTCTACTAACTAAACTAAGTAAAACTACTAATTACAGTTTGGGAATTCACTTAGGTATGATTCCCCTTAACTCCTCAATTAGGTCCAAGTTGCAATTACCTTTGGTTGATTTACTGATGATTAAACTGCGGAAGATCCTAAATTAGTTTGGAATCTCTTAAGCTGACCAAGCCCTCTCAGTCAAACTACCCGGCAGACGACTAGTCTTCACCAGGATAGAAAGCTGAGGCTATGAACACAGAACTCCACTACTGGAATGAATTCCAGTACAAAGCAGTGAATTGATTGACTCTCGCACAACCAATTCACCACTATCAATCAAGGAAGCTCTCTTAACCTAATCAGATTCTATCTATCATAGGTTAAAGCAGAAATCAAGAGAATTTGATCAAGATTCAATTGACTCAATAAATCATGCCTCAATCGATTATAATCAAACAATATAGCATCCAAAACTTCATACAAGAAAGATCCTAACACATGGAACTAGGGTTCCTCAAAACCTAAGTGAAGGGAAGTTAATTACTCCATAGAGAAGAGAGAGACTGCAGAAATCTGATCTAGATCTTCAATCTCCATCTCCAAGCTTGATTCCCGAGCTCCAATGGCGAAGAAATCCTCCAAAATAGCTCCAAGAATGTTCCCAAGTCGCTCTCTCTCTCTAGGGTTCGTCCCTTGGGTGTTTGGGAACCAAAACCCAGCTCTCCCTTTCCTTTGGCTCGAATCTGCCTCAAAAACACGATTCTGGGCGAATTACGGGCTGAATTACGGTCGTAATTCTTCCATGCCCGTATTTTGCCCAAAACACGCGTTTTGGTTATGTTTCAGCGCACCCAAAGCTCCTCTCGGCAGTGAAATTACGGGCATGGGAGGCCAAATTACGGTCGTAATTCTCCTGCCCGTAATTCTTCCTCCTCTCCTGTTCAAAGCTTCGTTTCTCCCTCGTTCGGACTCCAAATCAGTCGCCGTTTGAACCCAGACGCTCATAGTCTCATCCTCTTTCTTTTCATAACAAGCTTGCCTGATTATTTGTCCATAAAGTGAGGTATAAATCCATTCTTCTTCAGGTCATGACCGAGTTTCTTCTCCCTAATCGCCAATTGATCTCTGATTGACTTGATACTTGCGCCTATGTTTCACTTTATGTGCTAGGGCCTGAAATGTGACAAAGGAACACAACCTAGCGTAAAATAGGCCAAAGAAGCGATAATGCAAGCTTAAATGATCAAGAAACAAAGGGGAAAACATGTGCAAAAATCGAGTCATCACAGACGGACATGAATTCATATCAGACTAGACTCTTCTTTCTTTGAGCAAGTTGAACTTTTCAAATAAAAAAGAAGTGGAATAGAGGAGTTGCTAGACTGAAATGAGAGAAATGCTTTGGAGTTTGAAATTGAAGGTTTGTCGGTATTCACTCCTCTCACAAAATTCGAGTATATTCGTTACTCTTGCTTTTTAGAGAGATGAGACAAGCATTAGAGCCGGGCAATAGTTGATTGACGCTCCCCTGGGAAGAGTCCACGGAATTCCGCCACAACTGCTTCTTTCAATCCCAACCAAGTCAAAGTGTCTGGTACGAAGAAATGCATTCTATTCAAACTTTTACCAGACACTTGACTTAGACCACTTAGTAGGACCTTATTTTTGGCTTACAGGAGGCCTTGTAAGTGTTTAATTATGGTGCATTAGCTTGTAGCGAGTTTTCTTAACTTCTTCCATTTGAATGATTCACTACCAATTCAAAATGATAACTGCCAAGTCCTCTATTAGACGGGACGAAAGTGTAACTTCCGAAAACATGGGTATTAAAAATCTTAAAGAGCCAAGGGCTATAAGCTGTAAAGAAATAGGGCAGGGAGCTTGTGACTAAGCCGTTAGGGAGACTAATACGAACCCAAATCCATGAAAGACACCTGGTATTCTCTACTAACGAATTTCCCCTTCGCTACTCCATTTTGCTACCATCTCATCCCACTAATGACACACTCGCGTCAGACGTCTTTAGAAGACTTTCAATACATGATGGAAGTTAATCTTGACTTTCATAAGCTCTGGACAGAGCCACGAAAAGGAAGTGTTGCTAATTTTTTTTAAACAAAATAGGGTCTACTGGTACTAGAGAGCAGTTTACTATTTCTTAAAGGTCTCCCTAGGTCTTTTCGACATAATGAAGAATGCCTCTGGAATAAGCTATGGGGTGAGAGTCTGGTTGTGAACTCGAGAATCTCTTGTCTTTCCGCCTTGAATGAAAACATCCATAAAATCCTTTTTCTTTAGAGTGTTGTGTTAGTTTCCGCATCCTCTCACGCCCTTGGTCTAGCTATTTCATATCCTTAACTTAGAGTGATTCATTTTGCAAGTTCTTTCGTTATTATGGTAACTCCTACAAAAGATCGTACTAATGACGTATACAATACTTAAATTCTCGACATAGATGTTACATAGTTGGTTCTCATTCTTCAGAGACTACGAGTGTAAGGAGCACCCGGAGCTCCCCGCGTTGTTTTTTCCCCTTCCTATTAATTGCGATGCGAACAAAGAAAGACCCCTACTTGAAGTCACTAACGCCTATCTCTCGTTTAATAAGACTTATTGGAATGGAAGAAGGAGAGTAGTCTTCCGGTCCTCAGTTAGTACTTAGCTGCGTTGAGAAGCCTCAATGTGCCTGAGACTAGAGCAATAGACAACTGACCGTTGATATTAAACCCAAATTTCCCCCTTTTGATTTGAGTCCATAAGACTGTCCACAGCAAGAAGGGAAAAAGAGGATAAAAGGGGAAAAAAAGGAGAAGATGGCTCACATAGAGGTGGATATTATGGAAAAAATGGATAAAAGAAAAAGAAGGGGAGGGTTTATCCTGCGCCAGAGGTTAAAAGAAGGAGGAGAAGTGGGTCCAGGTGGGTGGGAGGAGGAAGGGAAGGGCGGACCATGTGGGTGGGTTTTTTTTTGTTTTTTGTTTTTAAAAATTGTTTTATGGTTTTCTTATTGGATTTTTATGAGTTATTGGATTTTAGTGATAAATTTTTTTATGTCCAAATTGAAAAAAAATTATATCGAAATGTTCGTCTTAATTAATTAATACTACCTATATAAAAATAATGAATAAATTATCAAAATAAAGTTACCATATCAACTCTAGATTGATTTTGAAAAAAAAAACTCCTCCTCAATACCCTTTTTTCCCTACCACCTATTGTGGCCATTATCCTTCTCTCATCCTTTTTTCCCACTTTTTCCATCTTTTTTTTTCCTTTTTTCCCTTCCACCATTGTGGATAGTCTAATGACCGACATGTTTCATTAACCCTAGTGAAAAATTATACCGATAATCGTCGATTATCAGTTAGTTTTACAGTATAACCGTTAACATGATATCACTGCTACTGTCAGTTAGGATACACATACACTTAATAAAATTGGACAACTAGTGATCGACGTCTGATGACGAAAGAAGGATTATGAATCACTGAATCAGTGACTAGTAAACAAGAAAAGTTTCTTGAGTGATAAAAATGAAATATGTTGATAAATAGAATGACTAAACATGCACTTCACAATCTAACTCGTAATTAGTGATAATAATTAATAATCATGTAATAGCAATCGGAAATTCGGAACACATAAAATAAAAGAATCGGAATCGGAGTCCGGTCTACAGCAACGGACAGCAGTCGGATTGGCTACGACTGCGAGTAACCAAATGAAGCCCGCCGTCGTTCTCGTTGGCAAATAAATCCACTAGCACCTTGTCCGCCTCCGTCAGCCGGGGGTCTTCCTCACTTCTCAGTTAGGAGCTCGTGTTATGCCCTCGCATAAACCCTAGAAAGCTCTTGAATTCTTTCTTCACTCTCGGCTGAATAACCATCTAGGGTCCGAATATTAACGACCAAATATGGTTCGACCCGAGCCCTGCGTCTTGTTCTCCCAGACCTTCGTCCACCCTCAACTTGACGAGTACGTTGACGAGGTCAGTGTTCCCGTTCTCTGCCTACGCCGGCTCCTCACCCTTGTGGAATCAATCTGTTACTGTATCTTAGATCATGAATTTGTTGTTCGAATTCTTTGGCTGAAAGGCAGCTTAATGAACGAAGTTCTTGCTTTCTTTCTGCTGCAGGTTTTGTTCGGTGAGCCGGTTGTGATTACAGCTTGCGAGTTCCTCGAACAGAATGCCTCTTCTACCTCCCGAGCAGTGTCCTTGGTTGGGTACGTCTCTGTTGGTGCCTTTTAATGTTTCTATCTATGTGCGTTTTAGGAAACGACGAGAATCTGTTGTGTCCGAATCGACTTCATAGTTTGATTACGTTGGTTTCCCCTATCACAAGTCTGTACTTTGTGTAGTGCCATCACTTGAAGCTGTAGGATTGTGTTGGCTTTTGTGTGGAGTCGTTGACTAAAGCGTTATCATCTTGCTGCAGCGCTACTGCGCCTCCTTCATTTGCTTTGGAGGTATTTGTACAATCCGAGGGGGAGACGAGATTCAGACGCTTGTGCCACCCCTTCCTATATTCTCATTCGTCGTCAAATGTTTTGGAAGTGGAGGTACCTGCACTATCTAAATTAATATGAATATATCAGTGTTGCATTTGCTTCTAGTGAACACAATTCTTTCTATGATGAGTAATGAACCTATTCTTTTGCACACAATGTCCATCTGTCTTTGATAAATCTTCCCCCTTCATTGGAGCTGATATTTTCACTCTGAATGTCTATGTTCTGTTCTACTGTATTGAGACCTCAAGTCTTTTTGCGGGATGGATATAATATTCTCAAATTGTGAAACTTTATCTGAAAATAGTCACTCTGCTACGATGCAGGCTGTTGTAACTAACCATCTAGTTGTAAGAGGCAGCTACCGCAGCCTGAGTTTAGTCATATATGGAAACACGGCAGAGGATCTAGGTCAGTTCAATATCGAGTTTGATGATAACTCTTTAACTAATCTTGTCACTTCCGCCGAGGGAAAGCTGGAAGATCTGCCTCTGGCACTGCATTCGAGTTCTAGGGTCATAACGGAATCATTAATCTCTCTGAAAGTATTATCTCTACCTGTCACCGCTCTGGATTTGCCTATGGAAGTCAAAAAGTTATTGCAACTCATCTCAAAGATGTTGGAGATGCCCCTCATGGAGGAATCTGTGCATAAGGTTGTAAGTACCATGGTCACAGCTGTTTGTTCCCATGTCGCCCATGGTTCGTGTCACAAGGTAATTGATGGAGGCGGATCCGAGGAGTTGGAAGAGTTTTCCCATATTATTGATGAGGCTAAGAACGAGCTTCTTGGAGTCCTTCAGGGTTGTTCAGGAAATGATGCAGCCCAGTCATTGGCAGACGTCAGTTTTCTTGAATCTGAAGGTGATGTGGCTACTTCCAAACAGTTGGTGGACATGTTGGGCTCGTGCCTTTGTTTTGACAAGAACTCTTCTCAACAACAGGAGCCTTTAAAGGTGATTATCTTACAGTAAGCACCTCTTAGCTATTATCAACTGTCTTCCATTTGTAATTTTAAGATAAGAAGTGATCTCTTAATCTCATCCACTCAATCTCGTGATCAACTGTCTCTCCTTGATATTGTGTGCCAGGAGGATATTTCTTACTCTTGTTTGCAATATACCCAGATTTTTTAACTTTTGGTGCTGACAGAATCTGATGGGCTTCTTTCACATTTTTATTTCAGAAGAAGAACTTCTTGGGCCTGTGTGTGGCCTTTTTATTGTGCTCTAGCAGAGAAAGTTGCTTCCACTTTGTGAATCATGGGGGAATTGAGCAACTTGGCCACTTTTTCTCTCATGACATACGGAATTCTTCCGCAGTTGTCTTACTCTTACTTGGAGTTATAGAGCGGGCTACTCGGCATCCAATCGGTTGTGAAGGAATTTTAGGCTGGTGGCCCAGGGAAGATGAGAATGTGCCTTCTGGGTTTAGCAAAGGGTATAGTCAATTGTTGAAGTTGTTCCTGGAAAAACCACGCCATGATGTTGCTTCCCTTGCGACTTACATCCTTCATCGTTTAAGATTCTATGAAGTTGCTTCTAGATATGAGGTATTGCGCAGTAGTCACATGCATTTGTCCCTGCATATAAAGTTACAATCAATTAAATATGTAATTTTCTTTTTCAGTCTGCTGTTCTATCTGTGTTGGCCAGTCTGTCTGCTGATGGAAATTTAACAAATCCAATGGAAAGCTTGCTTGGAAGTGTTAAATTTCAACTAAAAAAACTCTTGGTCAGTTCTCAACTACTTGTTCCATTTTTTGTATCTTTATCTGTCATAAGATGTTCACCTTGTGTTTCTTAAAAGCGGTTGCAGAAATTGATCAACTCACATGGTCCACTTGAAGATCCTTCTCCGGTGGCTCAAGCAAGTCGATCCTTGATTCTCGGTCAAACAGAGGGGCTATTGTCATATAAAGCAACCAGTGGCTTGATTGGTGCCTCAGATTGCTCTTTTTTCAACTGTGATATTGACTCCCATCTGCTGGGACTTCTCAAGGTATTGCTTCCTCTGACATTATCACATGCAAGGATATAGAGCGTAGTCTTCATCAATTTGGCTCGGTAAGCGAATTGCTTCTGTGTTTGCTCTCAGATCATGTCAAATTAGAAGAGTGCACAAGACCAATAAGTTCAAAACTATAAAATTTTCATCTGCTCATTGATTCAAGAGAATATAATCTGCTCAACAAATGCCTAAAGATGGAATTCTGGAAGGTTTAAGTTGACTGCATCCGTGGCCACAAATGCTGTTACATATAATGTTTGTGATTTATGAATCGGAACCCTTAAAATATTTGCAGATATTGGAAGCTATTTTAGCTACATTTTGTACTAAATAGCCATCTAACAAGCTAAACTAACCAAAAATAACAAGGCTGTTGGCTAATTTTGCAAGCAAAGGTGTTTTGTGTTTCTCTGGGCTTCCGCACTTTGGATTGGGGCTTTATATATTCAGCTTTGAACTTCTATATGCTGTTATTGTTTTCTGTTTCTATAATTATGGAAGAAAAGATTAGAAAGCTAAGCTATTGTCAGTAGTGGCTTGATCTACCAAATGGTTTTAATTGTTAGCTTACAAGAAGGGAGCTTGGGTTTAACTTTCCAATAACTCTGATCATTGTAGTCCAGGGATTTGGATACGGTTTTCTGGTTACATGGAATGTTTTTTTTTCATTGGTAGCCGTTTGTGGCCTTTGTGGATACAGGAGAGAGGTTTTCTTCCATTATCAGCTGCACTTTTAGCATCGCCTATTTTGCGCTCAGAAGTCAGTGATACCATGGGCACATTTGTTGAGATTGCATCAACTATTGGGGCCATACTTCTCGCTCTTCTTATGCGTCGCTCAGGTTTATCCTTAAAGCCATTCATAGAAAGTTTTCCCCTTAGATATGGTATGAATGTATTCATTCTTTATCTCTTTGCTTCCCAGGTTTACTTTTCCTTTCAAATCACCCTGAACTTTCTACTACCATAATTGATGCTTTGAGGAATACAAGTGACATGAAAATGGAAGAATGCCTTCCACTCAGATATGCATCGATTTTATCAGCGAAGGGTTTTGTTTGTGGCCCTCGGGAAGTGGGAACGATCATTGATATGCATTTGAGAGTGGTCAGTCCATTAAACTGTTTCCCTTTATTTGAGTTACTTGTTCAAAGCTAATTTTTTGTCCTGATGTGTCTTTCAGGTTAATGCTATCGACAGATTACTTTTACTAACTCAACATACAGAAGAATTCTTGTGGGTGTTGTGGGAGCTTTGTGGTCTCTCCAGGTTGAACTTATTGACATTTCTTTTCTATTTTGTTTTCTAGATCTAGATTCAGAGGGACTGACCCTTGTTGGGGACATGGTTTGCAGATCTGATTGTGGACGCCAAGCATTGTTGGCTCTGGGATGTTTTCCTGAGGTATGATCATTAGGCAATGCTCAGGTTATTTACATCCTCAGGGAAATAGGAACTGCCAAGTCAATGTACTTGTGATTGGGCAAACTTCGAAGTGCATGGCTGTTGAACATCCATCTTACTTTTTGGTCCAAATATTTATTTATTTATTTATTAGATTCAATTTATTATAGCTGTTACAAATATACTAATATAGTGTCAAAGATGTTCTAAGGGTTCCATCAGAATGGTATGGTGTCATATGCATCTGATGCTTTTCTTAGTTGTGCCTCCTGTGGGACGTATGAGCACTATTTTCCGATCTCGTACTTTTTTGTTTTGCTTCATGGTGTCAGATATTCATTTTCATTTATCCATCTCTATTTGTTAGGTTATATCAACTTTGATTGAAGCTTTATATGCTGTAAAGGAAACCGAGCCAGAAGCCAAAAGTGGTGGTAACTCATTGCTCAACTTATATAAAAGCATTCTTGTTTGCACATCTTAATCATATACATGAATTCCGTAGACACTTATGGACATGAATCTTGATATGCAGGAGCTTCCCCTATAGATGTGGCGATTTTTCACTCAGCTGCTGAGATATTTGAAGTCATTGTTACTGATTCAACTGCATCCTCCTTGAATTCTTGGATTGGACATGTGATGGAACTCTATAAAGCCTTACATTCTTCTTCCCCTGGCTCTAATAGGAAAGATGCTCCGATACGGCTGTTGGATTGGATAGATGCTGGAGTTGTTTACCACAAAAATGGGGCTATTGGTCTTCTTAAGTATTCTGCTGTGTTAGCATCTGGAGGGGACACACATGTAACATCTGCTTGCACTCTAGCTTCAGATTTAACAGATGTTGAAAACGTGGTGGGGGATGCTACTGGTGGTTCTGATGTGCATGTCATGGAAAATCTGGCAAAAATTGTTTCCGAGAAGACATTTGATGGTGTTACACTTCGCAACTCTGCAATAGCACAGTTGACGACAGCCATTAGAATATTGGCTTTCATTTCAGAAAATTCAGTATGTAGACTGATCTCATTCTTACACACCAAGTGATCATTCTAGATTGGGCTCATTTTACTTTTATTCATGCAGACTGTTGCCGCAAGTCTGTACGACGAAGGTGCTCTGACAGTGATCTATGCTACTGTCATGAACTGCAGTTTCATGCTGGAAAAGTCATCAAATATCTACGGTTAGTTTCATGATGTAAATTGTCTTCAGAAATCGTTTTTATCTGAGAAAAGAGCATACGTAGATGTACACAAGTTTGTATTTATATATCTATAAAATATATAAAGGACTTTCTAAAAAACACCTCCGCCATGTAAGCTTTCCAGCGCTCTCCTTAATTCTCGGTTATGCTTTTTTTTTTTTTTTCTTTTGACCGCTAGCCGTTTCTCTCCAGTCTCCATGCATTATGATTCTTTTTTCTTTTCTATTACTTTTCCCCCTAACCATGGCTTAACTTCCCTCCCCTTCATTATATAAACGTTATTTTTAAGGATGCCATTTTGAGAAGGTTGTTGAGCAAAGTCCATATAGGTAGTACTTTCAATGAAATCAAAATTATAATATTGTAAATGTCTATAAATAATTTTTTAATTAGTATTAATATTGTAATGTCTATAAATAATTTTTAATTAGTATTAAATAGTAAACTTAACTCTTTAAATTAATATTTTGATATTAAAAATATGTATCTACGATACATGCCAAATTTTATATACATACAAAAAGTCTCAAATTTGTAAGAATTTATAACATTTTAGTCAAAAATAATTTTTTCAATGACTATATAGACCTCATAAATCTCCAAATCATGAGTTACAATTCTAAAAATGAATTACTATTAGTGGGTACGCTAACTATATCATTCTTATCTAAAAACAATAATTGAGTACGCTAAATGTTTAGAATTTTAGTAGAGTACAACTAAGAAATAAGAAGGGAAGCAAGAGTTAGTATTGTTCGAGTAAAATTTTGTATTTTTTGCTGAAGAAACAGGTGTTGTTTATAGAAGAAGAATAATTATTAAATGAGAGTTGAAAGTTTGGTTGAAAAATGTAATATAACGTTCTATCTCAATCAATATATTGAAGTCGTAGAGCGTATCACAAATATTTTTTTGAAGCTTCCAAGATACTAAATAAATAACGAACGAAATTCTCCCGGCCAACAGGCCGGGAACAAAGCTAGTATATATGTATCCAGAAGTGAGTTTTGACCCTAAGGATTGAAACTGGGCGGGGGATAGGACCATATAGTAACCCAAGACATCTGTATGATTAGACTGAAGAATATTGCCTCTGATCCTTTTCAGAGAGGCACTTTTTACTTAAGTTTTTAATTGTTACCTAAGTTCTTGCTTACAATGTTAGATGAGAAAAAGGTACATTCAGGTTTTAAAGGTTGTGTATTCTAACTGTCATCATTGATCTATTTTTTTATTTCTTGTTTTAGTTACAATGATTTTAAAATCTTGGGTTAGCATTTACCAACTCAAAAACTAAAAGCTTGTGCGCTGGGGAGAGTAAGTTTGAAGCTCATACTGGTACCTCTTAACTTGTCAATGGTCATGTGTTGTCCCTAGCAATGGTTTTCTGCTCTTTTTTATCCACCGCTAAACAACTTGTTTTAAGATTTCTGGGGAAATGTAGTGCTGAAGTTTCTGTAGGTTGCATCTCTGTCTGAATTTGAAATTTTATTCTGTTTTTATGCTAAACAACTTTTGGAGCCAACTATTTGTAATTTTAGGCCCTCTGGACTACTTGATTTCCTTACTTTTCACACTTCATGTTATACATTGATTGCATTTTCTGGAACAGATTATCTTGTCGATGAGGGGGCAGAAGGCAATGCGACATCTGATTTGTTATTGGAGCGTAACCGTGAGCAAAGCTTAGTCGATCTTTTGGTTCCTTCTCTGGTGTTGCTGATTACACTTCTGCAGAAGTTGCAGGTATGGTGCATTTTCTCTTGATCATGGAGTCTCTTGTACTTTTTGAGTGGATAACATTGAACTGATGCAGTGAGATAGGTAACTGAACATCAGCTGTATGTACTTCAGGTGTCTGGTTTGTCTATTACTGTGATTGTCACTTGTTTGTTATGTCTATAGGGTATGATGTTGGGATTGAAATCATAGAAAAAATCAAACAATGCTTGCCACACACAATTATCAGCCACTTGGCAGTTCTCTCTCTCTTCACTCTTCCTTTTCTTCCATATTTTATTTTTATCTATTTATGAATAGTTATTTCTTCTATCCCTTACCAGAACTTTCCCTAATCTAATTTTTTCGAAGGGTTTATTGCATACTAGGTATTTTATTTAGAGTACTTAGTTTTTATATATAAAATATATGAACAGAAAGTTAAGTTTAGCTTCATGTGTTCCTTGGATATAAGATTTTCTTCTTGTTGCATCTCAGAACAAAACAAGATTTTGCTTAATACCTCTTATTTCTCTTGCAAAAGTACCAAAGACAGATGTTTGGTGGTGCTTTTCTTCAGATCTGTCGTCTTCTCCCTCTCTTTCACTATTCAAACTTTTCCACTTGTCATTCCCCTTAAAGAAAATCAAGTGTACATGACAGCTGTTGTACATAAATTGCGTTGATCTGTCTGAATTCATGATTACCAAAAATTGGCCTTGAAGAATGAACATAGATGCTATATAAAGCTCATTTTGGTAATTATAACTGTTAGCCTTGCTGTTTTTTTCCCCACGAATTAGAACTGAGCTGGGGCATTTCTTGGTTGCAGGAAGCAAAAGAACAGCATAGGAACACAAAATTGATGAATGCGCTACTCCGCCTTCACCGAGAAGTTAGGTACGTCACAAATTTTTTTCTTGTGCCAGACTGTTCGTGCTAGTAGTTTGTAGCTTTCATACTGATACCAAATATTTAAACTTGCAGTCCGAAGCTTGCTGCATGCACAGCAGATTTGTCGTCTTCGTATCCTGACTCTGCACTTGGTTTTGGAGCCGTCTGCCATCTGACTGTGTCAGCTCTTAGCTTCTGGCCGGTATATGGATGGACACCTGGCCTTTTCCACTCCCTTCTCGCAAATATTCAAGCAAACTCACTGCTGGGTTTGGGCCCAAAGGAAACATGCAGCTTGCTTTGTCTTTTGGTATGCAAACTCCAGGTTTTATCTTCAACTTGGATGTGACAGCTTATTCTAGAACCAGAAAGTGCATGCATATGACTCTATTTCTGCATAGGCTTTCAAATTTCGTTAGGCATTGATGCTTGTTACTTAACTGAACTTTTGCATCTGTTAGTAATGGCCATAAATTGTTCAAATGGATTGATGCGGAGGTTTTTTGTTTGCTATATTGGTGAACCTGGTACTTACTGAGCTTATTTCTCTGTATTTGCAAGAATTATCTGTTCCCTGAAGAAGGTGTTTGGCTTTGGAAGAATGGAATGCCCTTGTTAAGTGCTCTAAGAACGCTGGCTGTGGGAACATTGTTAGGTCCACATAAAGAAAGACAGATCAACTGGTATCTAGAGCCTTCCCACCGAGAGAAATTGCTCAACCAGTTGACCCCACAACTTGAGAAAATTGCCCTGATTATCAGACAGTATGCCGTATCCGTACGTGCTTCTCATCATTGTTTTGTGCAGACTTCTATCTCTAGAATAGAGTACTCGGGGATTGCACTTTACTATTTATCTAGAAATGTATTTATTTTGTGATTCCCTTTTTCCTATATCCAGAGATTGGTTGTCATCCAAGACTTGCTCCGGGTCTTCGTAATTCGGATTGGTTGCCAAAAACCGGCCAATGCTTCTGTTCTTCTCCAGCCTATGCTATCCTCTATTCGTCACCATCTCTCTGATTTTGCTTCTCTGTCACAGATAGATGTTTACAGGGTACACACATTTCTGTTTTAATGAATTGACTTGAAATTGTTGATGTCATGGTCCTTTGCTTATGTGTTGTGAATATCAATATCCTCTTTTCCACTATTCAGGTTTATAGGTACCTTGCATTTCTTGCTAGTGTACTGGAGCATCCACGTGCGAAGGTATGTGCCTTTTACATTTATTGGATGTTTCTGCAGCTTGATCTTCTTCATGTGCATTACCTTGTTTTAGGTGCTGTTATTGGAGGAAGGCATTGCTGACCTGTTAAGTGGGACTCTGGAGAGGTGTTATAATGCCATTGATTCAGATGAAAGTCAGCTCCCAGAGAGCAAAAGTCTTGCAAAATCTGGCGTTGCTCTGAATATGTGGTGCCTTCCTGCATTCAAGTCCATCTCTTTGCTTTGTGGTTCTCAAGCATCTTCACTGTACTCTGGACAGCATGACTTGTATGTTTATATATTGGAAAATGTCAGTTTTTTATGCTGCGAGGTTACTTTGGTTAATGGACTAATCTTTTTTTTTAATCCATTACAGCCGTTCTGCAAGCTTTAGTTCTCAGGACTGTTCACTGATTCTACCCTATCTCTTGAATTTCTGTCAGGTTAATTCCTGTTCTTTTGATTTTCAATTTAACTTTGAAAGAGTGAAGCCCTCAACACCTCACTTTTTAGCAACTGCCCTTATTTTTCCAGGTCTTGCCAGTTGGAAGAGAATTGCTTTCCTGTCTAATGAGTCTTAAGGAAATGGGTAGTTGCAGTGAAGGCCGGAGTGCTTTGTTGACCTCTTTGAGTAGTGTCGTCAATGGAACACCTAAGGAGGTAGAATCACAAAAAGGTGATGAAATGAATGGAAATCGTAGCGGTGATGTTTACGGATGGAGCAAGAACCCTGCTCTGTTGCATTGCTGGATGAAATTGCTCAAGTCTGTTGATTACTCGGATGGATTATCAACTTGTGCAGTGGAGGCTATCAATGCATTATCAGTTGGGTCATTGAGTTTCTGCGTCAATGACAAAAGGTCAGTTGGCATGTTAATAAATATCATTTGGAAGTAATTTTGATTGTTTGACTTAGTTTGGTAATTTAAGGGGTAGTTCTGTTGCAAGTGCTTTTACATAAATTGTATAGGTGGAGTAGAAGTATATCTTAGATCATCATGGACGATTAAATCAGCACCATAATGTTAGTGATTTAACTTTCCTCTTGCAAGTCATCATGGACTATACAGGGTTCTGGAAGAAACCCTCTACCCATGGATATTGTGCTAAAATCCATGAGTCAAGTCCTACAACCAAACGATCTCTTAGGTTATGTTCCAGTAAACTTGCTTCAGTACCCTTGTTTGGGGTATTGTTTCCCTTATGTTGACTCTAAATACGGTTCATTTATATGGTAGCTTGTTGGGGCATTTTGAATGCTTGTATCAGTGCTGGCATGCTGTCATCAATTAACTTGAAAAAGGTTGACTAACCATGAGTACACATTTGCCATCTGTCAGTTTGAACTGGAATGCTGTGGCTGCAATAAAATACCTTTACGGCATCCCAAATGACATGGATGAGACAGACAGCCTTTCAGAAGCCTTAACTTCCATAGAGGAAACAACTACAGTGCTGAATTCAAAGATTACCAACAACTACCATGTCTCTGTGCAAGCCACTCTTTATCAGGTAAAAGCTTATAGGAGGGGCCTGTGTCTCCTATTTTGTCATGATAACATTTCCCCCCTTCTGATACTCATCCTCTGGCTTCTAATTTGCAGGCTCTAGAATCTGCCAACTCATTATTGTTACTGTTGCAAAAGCCCATCGGTTCTGTAACACTGGATGAAATTGGATTTAGTACGGATGCTTTGCTCTCTACTGATGTTCTTGTTTCACCAAATGTAAATGACGATATTGATGATCACTGTCTTCAGCTTGGGGGTCTTGGAGACAAGTTTGTATGGGAATGTCCAGAGACGATGCCTGACAGATTATCACAAAACCTTCCTGCGAAACGGAAATTATCATCTGTGGACAGTTCTGGCAAGCGAGTGAAGGGTGAAAGTTCAGTGGTCGAAATAACAGGACAGAATTCATTTGCTCGGGGGATGGGCCCATCTACCACCTCCACTGGTCCCGTCCGCAGGGACACCTTCAGACAGAGAAAACCAAACACTAGCAGGCCTCCATCCATGCATGTGGATGACTATGTTGCTAGAGAGAGAAGTGTCGACACCGTGGGGAATAATTCCAATGTTATTGCTGTTCAACGATTAGGGTCTGGCGGTGGAAGACCTCCTTCAATTCATGTGGATGAGTTCATGGCTAGAGAAAGAGAGAGACAGAATCCTATGGTTGCTTCTGTAGTAGGAGAGCCATCACCATCACAAGTGAAATCGGCTGCTGCTGTGGTCGATAATGATGTTGATAAGGAGAAAGCAAACAAGTCTAAGCAGCTAAAAACAGATATAGACGATGATCTCCATGGTATAGATATAGTGTTTGATGCCGAAGAGTCTGAGACTGATGACAAGTTGCTATTTCCTCAGCCAGATGAGAATCTTCAGCAACCCGATCCTGTTGTCATACTTGAACAAAGCCCTCCTCAGTCAATTGTTGAGGAGACACAGAGTGATACTCTACTGGCATCATCCAATGCTGAGGAAAATGCACAGAGCGAGTTCTCTTCACGGATGTCGGCTGCCACTAGACCTGAAATGCCACTAACTCGAGAACAAAGTGTTACTTCAGATAAGAAGTTTTATGAGCAATCTGATGATTTGAAGAGCCCGTTTCGGGGCAAAACATCTGTGGGTATTGATTCTGTTGCTGGTGGTGGATCTTTCTGCGATAGTGGGCCAGGTTCTTCTACTTTGCATGTACCAATGGATTTTAGAACAACTCCTCCAAATGTCTATATGAAGAACAGCCCTCGCAGTGCAACAGGATCTCGAGGAGGTTATGAGCATAGGATTGGTATGCATCAACCGCCTTTGCCTCCAATGCCGCCTCCATCATCATCTGTCTCGCCTGGAATCATATCACAGAGTCTTGATCATGGCCCAAGTCAGCCATCCCCTTTCTTGAAGTCTTTTGCGGAGGTATGGCTGTCAAATCTGCTCTTTCCATGTGTAGAATTACGCCTCTTCATGAGTCCTCTTGTATAACTTTGGCTGTGTTTGCTTGAGCTTAGAAAAAGTGGCATAAAAAAGTGAATTTTATTGCTGAGACCACTTCTCCTTAAATTTAACTTAAAACTACTATTCATTAAAGCTAAGTCACCTCACTGTGTTCTTTGAAGTAAAAGTATGTTCTTAAAGTTGTGCCCAAATCGTCATTTCCAGAATTAATTAATTTCGTTATTACTGAACAAACTACTATCCTTTCATCAAATCAAAATACTATTTTTTTGTTTTTGTTTTGGTAAGGGTGATATAGGTTTGGTTTTTAGTTAGGTGCTACTTAAGGATTCGAACCTGTGATCTCCAGGATCAAGACCAGCGGTATTACCACTGGACTAAACCCCGGTTCACCAAAATACGATTTTATTACTCTACAACTATTGCATAGCATATCAGTTCAACTGAATTTTTTTAAAGCAAAAGCTAAACAAACATCCATTATTCGTATTTGTTGAGGTTCTTCATTGTCATTACATTGTTTGCAGGCTCAATCAGATTATCCTCCTGCTTTTGTAAACAGTCCTGCACGTCTACCATCCTCTCATTCATTACCAGATTCCAAGTACTCTTCAAGGAGTTCTAACATGTCTTCACCGAGTGGGTCAGCTGGACCTCATCCACCGCTTCCTCCCACACCACCACCGCCTTTCTCAGCTAGCCCTTACAATTTTCCTTCCGGAAAGCCCGCTTCAACTCCGCAGTCATCGGGATATTCTGAGTTCCCTATGATGGCTGGTGTAACTTCATACCTGCATCCTCCACTGATGCAACCATTGGTCTTCAATAGGCCGGCTTATGTAAACACAGCAGCAACTCAGCAACCGGGTGGTGACATCCAGAACATGCTGCAGAATATCCCCATTGCTCAGTCAATGCAGCAGTTGCAGCCTCTACAGCCGCCACTGCAACGCCCTTCACAGGCCCATCTCTGGCCACCTTTACAGCCATCTTCTCATCAGCAGCAGCAGGAACAACAAGGGTTGCTGCCTTCGCAAAACCCATTTCAGGTTCCAGTCCATCAATTACAGATGATGCAACAGCCTCAAATGCCTACCATGCATGCTCACTATCAAGCTCAACAGCTAGAGATCCTTCAGTTGAGACAGCAGCAGCAAGTTGAACAAGTTCACGAGCAAGACCTGCAGCGTTATCAAGGAGATGCTTCTTCATCTCAGCAACAGCGGGATCTCTCATTGCACGAATACTTTAGAGATCCCCAAGCAATTACGGTATTTGCAATCTATTCCTATGAATTGAAGGATGTGTCCATTTTTATAGGTTTTAGAATCTTCGGGTGAAGAAGTGTGTTTGTTTTGTTTAGAAGTCAAATCACTTAATTTTTAGCCAAAACAAGCACATCCTCGTTGCTTTAGTGGGCGATTTAGCTCAATTGGTTCTTTGATACTGCAATCGCGTTTTTGTTTCACCACAGGCTCTATTGAGTAACAAGGAGGAGCTGTGCCGGCTCTTGGAGCAACACCCTAAATTGATGCAGATGCTTCAGGTCACCACTACAACTGTATCTTACAAGATTTGTATTTTTGTGCCACAACTGTCTCTTATGCTTAGCTTGAATCTCTAGCCCTCAAAAGTTTGTGTTATTGGCTATACATGCTACTGTGGGGCTTAATATTGTATACCCATGTTTTATTTACAGGAGAGATTGGGGCAGCAATAGCGAAGCTGTTGAGACACAGTATCACTTTGCAGTGCTAGTAGCTGCCAAATGTTCCAACAGTAGATGCAAGGCTTCCATGTGGGCATCTTCAAGCTCTCCCCTAGTGGTTTTTGTTCATTTTCCTTCCCCATCTGTCTGAATTTTCCACCATTGTCGTCCATGTAAGGATTGTATATATGTGATTTTCATGGTGGTTGATAATTTTGCGTAATTGGGTGGTTTTGGTTTTAGTTCTAGTTCTTTGGCTTCTGGCCCCATCCCACTTCAGTTGAGGAAAATTTTCTGGGAATTGATGCGATTTTTAGATGATCCAAGATACGCCCATAGTGGGCTGTTGATCCTCTGTCTGTGATGTATAATCTTCGAGCGCTATGAGATTATATGAAGGCTTAAATTTAAGGAAAAAGAGATTGAAGGAGAGGTCTATAGTAAATCAATCAAATTTAATATTTTACCATTTTCAACTCATTTTCACAATAAACTAAAGGGTTAATACCCTCGTTTGGCACGAAGTATAGCGTTAGTGACAGTTTTGGCCCCATTTTTCAAATAAGACATCTCTGGCCCACTTTTGAAATTATCGGACAAATTTGGCCTGTGGGACGGGTTGACTGTCAGATTTGACGGTCAACAATTTTCTCCGTTGCTGACTCAATATTCGACTCTGACGTGGCTTGTCCACGTAATTTATTGTTATTCCCTTTTTATGAACATTTTGAAGTCATTAAGTTTAAAAAAAAATAAAAAAAATAAACAAAACTAAATGGGAAAGGTGGAGACCAGGTCCACCACACACTTACCCATCCCTTTCATTCGACCTTCTTCCTCCTGAAACCCCACCCGCTCGTATCCCCTTCCCCTGTCTTCTCCAGAAACAGATTCCGACCCAAATCGGAGTGCATGACACTCGATTGTCCTCTTCGTCGGCCCGAATCTTGAAACCCCACTCGATTCTCCCCATCGTAGGCTCCTATCCCCTTCCCCGACCTTCTTCCTCCTGTGAAACCCCATCGTCGGCTCGTATCCCCTTCCCCGACCTTCTTCCTCCTGTCAAACCCCATCGTCGGCGCGTATCCCCTTCCCCGACTTTCTTCCTTCTGTGAAACCCCACGCGCTCGTATCCCCTTCCCCGTCCTTATCCCCTTACTTTCCCTTCATCATCGCCTCCTAACCCAGCCCGATCGAGTGTCACCGCCGATCAAAATCGAGTGCGCGGCCGGCCGACCCTTTCTTGGCCGCGCCGCGTTTCTTTTCCCTCTCCTTTCTTCCGCATCTGTGCAGTGTTTTTCTAGTGGGACCAGTCGAGCAAGGAGGGACCAGTCGAGCAACTGGTCCTCTGTGCAGTGTTTTTCTTGTGGGACCAGTCGAGCAAGGAGGGACCAGTCGAACAAGGAGCCACTTCAGATACGAAATTAGCTTTTCAGCTGAAACAGGTAATGTTCTGAATGTCGTTTTCTACACTTTATCTTATTGGAATCGAATTTGGGGAAGTGCATAAGTGAATAAACAATGTCCCTTTTTGTTTCTTTTCTGTTTAGGGATTCTGAGAACTCAGTAAAGAATACTAAAGTGCTTGTTTGTATGTGAATAAACAATAACCGTTTCTGTTCCTTCTCTGTTTAGGGATTCTGAGAACTCAGTTAAGAATTCTAAAGGGTTTTCGAACACTAAATGATACATTTTTTGCCCAATTGGAAATGCTCTTTTCAGGTTCTGGAAACATGGTCTATGGAACATGGTTTATGTTGTTTTCAGACGTCTAGGATTTGTGTAGTTGTGTTTATGAACTTGATTCCAGGTTATGAACTTGTTTCCAGGTTATGTCACCTTGTGTTGTGTTCATGCTGAATTCAGGTTATGAAAGTGTATGTTTGTGTTCATGAACTTGTTTCCAAGTTATGGTATCTTCAGGCAAATGAACTACAACTTGAATGGATTACAAGCAAACAAACTTTAACTTCAATGCATTACAATCTAACAAAGCTGACCTTGACTACATTACAAGATAACGTGACAACTACTGCCATCAAACTTGCTCAACTTGAAGCTAACTCGACAACTACTGCATTACACACGTTTTACCCACGTAGGAGCCAACTGACAGAGTATAAAACACACAGCAAACTAATACCGATATAACAATGATTCACCCTACTCTGAAGTTTACAAACAGTATGCCCCAAATTCTCCAATTCAAGACAGCTTCGAGCACTTGTAGCAGCAATTTTTTCAAACTCTTCTGCCATATCGAACTTTTTTTCCTTCCTCTTCTCAACCTTCTCTTCAACATCACTAATACGACATTCAATTCCTTGGGATAAAGTGACAATCTCAGCTTCCATCTCACAGATTCTCGATTTCAACAGAGCATTCTCCTCCATAAAAGATTCAAGCACACTTGAATTTGCTGATGTTCTCCGATCACACCACTTAAAATGACGACAACCTTCCTTAGCATCCTACATGAAGGAACTTGATTATTTTTAAAGAAGAATACCATTTCGGCAACAAATTGAGACTTATCGGAAAAAATACCTGCCAATACGGGCAGGAATAGAACATTCTCCCCGGATTGTCCTCTGTTCTAGACATCTGCACAATACATGGAACATTGTGCTTGCACCTCTCGATGGGTGTGTTTGTCGAACTTGAACCGGCTGAACTTCCCCCTCCCCTCCTTTTAGCAGATGACATGGCTGCTTCCTCTCTATGGGTTGGCGACGAAGAGGCTTCGCCGCGACGAAGTGGGATGGCGACGGAGAGGCTTCGCAGGCGACGAGGGAAGCCGACAAAGAGGGCTGGCGGCGGCGACGAGGGCTGGATTTGGCGACGAAGAGGCTTCGCCGCGATAGATGGCAGGGGGCGAGGGAAGGAGACGAAGAGGAAGAGGATCGACGGCGGCGACACGGGCGACGAGGGCTGGCGACGCCGATGGGTTTTCAGAGGAGCTCTGGTATGGTAGGGTTTCGCATAAAGAAAGAAGACGATTGAAGGGAAAAGGGGAAAGGGGAAAGGGTAGGGCTGCTTAGGGTCCTCGTGTCTCCACTTCCATTTATGTTTTTTATGTTTTTTTAAGGGAAAAATAACAATAAATTACGTGGACAAGCCACGTCAGAGTCGAATATTGAGTCAGCAACGGAGAAAATTGTTGACCGTCAAATCTGACAGTCAACCCGTCCCACAGGCCAAATTTGTTCGATAATTTCAAAAGTGGGCCAGAGATGTCTTATTTGAAAAATGGGGCCAAAACTGTCACTAACGCTATACTTCGTGCCAAACGAGGGTATTAACCCTAAACTAAATAAATAAATAAAACAGAGAAAAATTATTTTGAACTTCCAGATGTATTCATCGTTTACTTGGCTGGCGGCAAATTGTAATTCTATACAGTAGAGTTATAGTGGATTGAGGTAGAAGCCAGAAGGTAGTGGGAGGTTTCTGATCCTTGTTATTTTTGTTTGTTCTTCCGGGAAGCCACAATGACAACCCATTTCGTTGTATTGGTTCTTGAATTGCTTATCCAATTCTTTTTTACTTAATAGTAAAAGGGCAACTGATTCAAAGAAAAAAAAGCAAATAGTAATTCTATCTGCAGTAAATGAGCAGTGGTTTGTGGTGTATAATCTTCGGGCGCAATGAGATTATATGAAGATTTAAATTTAAGGAAAACGAGATTGAAGGAGAGGTATATAGTAAATCAATCAATTTGTAAGCCAAGCTTCCTCATGCATCTACAAATGTAAAAAGATAAATTGTAACGTTAGTCACTGGGTTTATTAAAAAGATTTATGTTTGATCATAAAAAATATTTATTTTATATGTGGTCATTAATTTAGTTAAATATTTCAAATTTGGCTACTCTACGTCCAACTCCGTTAATTTTTTTTTTTTTTGGATAGGAAGATAGACGCCAATGGAATCCTAGATTACCGTTAAATTTGTTTGATGTGACACTCAACTCTCAAAGTTAACTGTTAACTAAGTAATGTGGCAATTAAAAATAGTAAAAAAAAATAAAATTTAATCTCTTTCAATTTTCAACTCATTTTTACAATAAAGTAAATATGTGAGGACAGAAAGGGAAAGAATCAAAGCATCATTGGCTGAAATGGGAAACTCTATGTGAGGAGAAGGAAGTGGGGGGCATGGGATTCAAAAACCTCAAAGATTTTAATATGACTATGCTTGTTAAGCAAGTCTGGAATGTGATTTCTAGATCGAATTCCCTGATGGCCAGAATTCTTAAAGCCAGGTACTTCCCTAGAACTGATACCCTTGATGCTAAGCTGGGTTTTAACCCCGGTTTTATCTGGAGAAGTATCATGTCTACAAAAGAGAAGATCAAGGAGGGTTTTAGGTGGCGTGTAGGGAAAGGGTTATTCGAATTGGGAGAAAGGAAAACATGCATGGAATGGTTGAGGGAAGTATGGAACAGTTCAAGTCTAGAACAAATTCAAAAATTTAGCGTGATTCTCTAGTATCTCTGGAAGGAAAGGTGTAATCACCTGTTTAACAATCACAAGATCGAAGAGGATCAGATTATCCCAAAGGCTTTGGGCTGGTTGCAAGCCTACTTGGAAGCTCAGGACACACACCTCCAGCTCAATGGCGCAAAATCAGCAAAGCAGCTTAGGGGACTCTACTGGTTGGATCCCACCTCCAGAAGGAATCTTCAAACTCAATTCTGTCGCGGGAGTTCTGAATCAAACGGGTGTTGGATTTGGGTGTATTATCAGGGACTGGAATGGGAGATTTTGTGGTGCGATGGCAAAGAAAGAAAGAGGATCATGCAGACCCATTGAAGCAGAGGCGAAAGCAATAGTAATGGGGCTTTGCGAGGCGAACATAAGCGGATTCAGCCCTTTGATGGTTGAATCGGACTGTCAAGTTTTGATCGGGAAGCTGGAGAAAGGGGAAATGGATTTCTCGGAGCTCGGGGTCTGGTGCGAAGAGATTAAGAATCTGGCAAGATGCAATGAAGGTATCTCTGGTGTTGCTGTAAAATGGTGTTTTACACCGAGGAAAAACAATGCTACGGCCCATTGGCTGGCCCATGCAATTTCGGGTTGGGATAGGCAAGTAGTTTGGGTGGATAATCCCCCCTAAGTCTATTATGTTTGTTGGAGAATGATTTGGGTGGGCTGACTTGTAACATGTCTTAAATCTTTGAAATGAAAAGCCCACAGATTCCCATGAAAAAAAAAATCTATCTGCAGTAAATGAGTTTTTTTTTGGTAAGAACAGGGCGCAAAGGGCGCCCTAACCTTTATTAAGCACGAACAAAGCGGGGGGTTTCACCCCCCACACGATCAAACATCAGCCAGTACAGAAGCTTAGTGTCAGGCCTGTCTAAAATATGCACCCCAATCGATTGTGAGTGACCCATGGAAGCTAAATAATCCGTGGCGAAGTTTGCTTCGCGGAAAACATGATCAATCCTAACGGTCCAGTTGCGGTTGAGTCTCTGTCGGATCACTGCCACCTGA